GATGTGTCTCAGTCCATCTCCTCTAAATCCGGGGACAGGAGCCCTCACACTGATTTTGCATGGAAGCTTAGATATCTGTTTCCATCCAGCCCCATGTACACACCTAAACACCTGCACAGGTGCCTTTACCGGTGACTCCTTTGCCCCGAGACAGGCCCCACTCCCTTCAGGTGACGTCCACCGACAGCTGTCCTTCCCTTTCCTTCTCCCCCCTCAGCTCTATGAGATGTTCTCCTCAGTGATGAAACACCTGCCGGGGCCACAGCAGCAGGCCTTTAAGGAGCTCCAGGGGCTGGAGGACTTTATAGCCAAGAAGGTGGAGCAGAACCAACGTACACTGGATCCCAACTCCCCTCGGGACTTTATTGACTCCTTCCTCATCCGCATGCAGGAGGTACATGCCAGCAGCCAGGGCAAAGAAGACCAAAGCCTAGCAGAGGAAAACCAGGCGGGGGGTGGGGGCATGGGGGACTACAGCGGCTCATTCAGATGACCCCCATCATAACCCTCAGAATCCCAATTATAATTCACTGTTCTCTCCACTGAGCCTTTACCCATGGGCAGGACCTGTGTGTGCAAATCATGCTAATAAGCACATCTATAGCACTGCCGTGCACCAGGCACTATTTTAAGAACTTTACGGTATTCACCTATTTAACACTCACACCAGCTCTTGGAGAAGGTTCTACTATGACTCCGATGTTACAAATGAGGACATGAGGCCCAGAGAGTATAAGTGCCGTGCCTGAGGTCACACACCTAGCTCCGTCTGGTCTCTCAGACTCCAAGGCTGGTGCTTTTAGCCACCATGCTCTTACCTTTCATTCCTTGGTTATCAGACACACCTGTGTGGACAGGTGACCTTGCTTTACTATGTGACATTGGAGGGTCCCCACTCCTAACTGGAAGGGCTTTATGGAGTCTGAAGTTCAAGGTGAAAGGATCAGGGAGTGGATGCTCCATAGTAAGCTTCAAGATTTTCAGTGAAGGAATAGGATGCTGTTGCTTAAAATCTGGTCTGTGCCTCAGAAAATGTCTCTCTTCCACGCTCTCTGATGCATTCCATCATGGTCTCTCTCGCTCACTGTCTCTATTCCTTCATTTCTAAATATTTCTATAATTAAAAAGCAGCAACTAAGTGGGTAATTAAAGAACAGATAGTCATCTGGATAAGGAGTGTGGGAAGAACATTTGGGTAGAGCCACCAGCCTGGAAAAGGCCAGGCAGAACTAGGGTCCCTCTTCCCACCTTTGGTCCGGATCTATAAGAAGTGGGTCCAGAGGAAAAACCCCAGAAGGGCCCTGAGAGCATGGGGGAGTGGGCTTGGCCTGAAGCTCTCTCTCTGCAGGAGCAAAAGCACCCCAACTCTGAGTTCCACATGAAGAACCTGGTAATGACCACGCTGAACCTTTTCTTTGCGGGCACCGAGACGGTCAGCACGACCCTGCGTTATGGTTTCCTGTTGCTCATGAAGCACCCAGATGTGGAGGGTAAGGCTGCAGAGGGCGGGGAAGTGAGGGCCACAGACCCTCAAAATTCCTCTGAGCCCGCAGCAATGTCCCCACCTCTCTCAAATTTCTGGGCCCTCAGACACACCCTGCTATCCAGAGACTGGGTGATGATATTCAGCTAATAGGGACCAGCCAAGTTTCATCAGCTGTTAACATATTGAAAATATCTGAACTGATTGTTAAATAGCTCCACCAAGTGCCCACTACCTGCCGCTCCAGACCATCCCCCAAGACTCCTCCCTCGCAGCTTCCCCCATGATTCTGGCACAACCAGGTTAACAGGACCCTGTGCCAACAATGCTTATGACCCACCTCTGTTTCGAATGATCATATATCCATTCAGTTGTACCTATTTGGGCTATCATTCCTGCCCAGAGACCTCTAGCTACCTAAACATATTCCCCCTTATCCCACAGCCAAGGTCCATGAGGAGATTGACCGGGTGATTGGCAAAAACCGTCAGCCCAAGTTCGAAGACCGGGCCAAGATGCCCTACACAGAGGCGGTGATCCATGAGATCCAGAGATTCGGAGACATGATCCCCATGGGTGTGGCCCGAAGAGTCACCAAGGACACCAAGTTTCGGAACTTCCTCCTCCCTAAGGTGTTGCCCTTGCCCAGCCTAGAGGGACCTCCAACCCACACCCTGTGACCCAGCACCCTATCCTCCTTAGAAGCTTCCCAGCCCTTGTCTCCCTCCCTCAATCAAAGACTTCCCCAATCACATGTCCCTTCAACCTTCCCACTCAGAGACACCTGAATCCTGTGTTTCCCCAAGACCTCAGGGAATATGAACCCCATGTCCCC